CAATCCGCAGGCGGTCACTGGTGTACCCGTACGTCGCATGACCAGTGATTTCGCTTCAAGGATACCATTTTTCAACCTCTTGTCAGACATGCAGTATCCCATAATTTTTGTAGGGCCTGGTACTTATGTAGGTATACAAGTCTTATATTCTGATGCAATTCCAAATTTTTATCGCACCATACGTTAGCTCAGAGCTCGGATTACGATTGCTTATCAAATTATATGCTATCTGGCGCCATTTAAGAGACGCAGTGATCTGGGAAGAAATCGAAACTTTCAAAAATTTTAGAGTGTCTCGACGCTGTTCTTGAGCTGAGATGTCTAGGAGCCTGAGTTCACACAAAAAATATTTAGGGAGTGCTCAAAGTGCTAAAAGTTTTTCATGTATTTTATATGGCGAAAAAACAATTTTTCGTAGAAATGGCATACACTCTAAAAAGTGCATGTAAAAGTACTACCTAAAAGTGTATATTTTTCAACCAGAATCCGTGTAAATATACGCACAAGATATTCAATATTTGATTTTGAACATGCGATGTTTAGAATATACACATAAATATAAACATGAAATGTTTAAAATTGCAAAAAAATTTTTAGGCAAAAATAAATTTTTTACTTATAATAAACACGAAGGGCTCATATTTACTCAATTTTAAACATTTTATATGTAATTTTGCTCTACGCGACATATTTGGTATTTGAAAGTAAGCAGACAGTGTTTAATTTTATAACACGTTGTGTAAATTTGCACACATTAGGAGAGAAAACTGGTTACCTCTCTTTATATGCGTAAATTTGAACAAACATTTTTTAGAGCAAATTTTAAACATTTTATGTGTAAACTGTGAAATTGTGAAAAATAAACGTTTAGAATTTAAAACACAAGTTTGAAATTTGTTCTACGCCACACATATGATAAGTAAAAGTAAGCAAGCAGTGTTTAATTTAATTAAAACGGTATGTAAATTTGCATTCATTAAGAGAGGAAACTAATTACCTATCTTGAAAATTTAAACAACAATTTTTTAGAGCGTGGAATTCTTTAAAAACCAATATTCTCTGGTTGTCTTCGCGAGACTTTCAATATCAATATCCAATTGTTTATTTAACCTTTTTTTGAATACAAAAGATTTTTTATTAACATTGGGGTATATTTTTTCGGTATAGATGAATAGAATCTTTTCAGTTTGGGTTTACTATATGTGAGTCCCCAGTTCTTTGAACATTTAGCGATTTTACCTTTTAACTGTAACAGTATAATCTCGGAGTAAAACTTTAGAAAAATTATTTTATTATTTTATTCTTCGGTTGAAATTAGTTTTTTTTTTTCTTTTTTTTACTTATTGGTTTATTTTGATGCTTGCTCGTAATAAAAACATATGTTATGGAACATGACACACAATTAACAATGCGCGAGTGTAGGGAATTTGAAATATTTATGCGAGCGATAAATCATTGAAGATTTAAAGTGAAATTTATTTATGTTTGTATGTCGACAATTTCCGCAGAAATCTTAAATTCTTTTTCATATGCTTCATTAAGTAGTCGTTTTCAGATTTTAGATATTCTTTAGCTTTGAAAGAATTTAAATCAGAGACACGCAGAGAATTTTAATTTTTTTCAACTCAAATATAAAGATGTTATTAACAGTTTTATAAATTGAAAATTAAGCGAGAATAAAAATGAAATTAATACTACATAGTATGAAAAATTTTCGCGTAAATTTTTTTTTTCGGGCGAAACTCAGGATAAGGCTGAATTTTGATCGGCGAATGGTTTACGGACACTGAAAGTACAATGCCGATGAATTGAAATTATCTTCGAAGCAATCGAACCATATTCCCAGAAAAGAAAAGTACGCGCCAAATATTCTCATTCAGCCTTATCGTGGGTTTCGCCCGAAAACAAATTCGCCCGAAATTTTTTCATCCGCCCGCAGTGAATACACGGAAACGAAAAGTGAAAAATGAACCAGTTCAAGGAAAACGAAACTTATGATAAAGCGGATTTTATAATTTTAATCCGAATTCCTTTATACAGTTACTCTAATCTAACCTAACCTAACTTAACCTACATAATTGTTTAGCGTTGATACAATTAAAAAAATAAATAAAAATATTTCGTGTACAAAATCTATTTTCCAAATACATATATACAACTGTATACAAAAATGCTCAGAATACAAAAAGAAATCGATTAAGTTATGTCTGTCTGTCCGTCCGTCCGTCTGTGTACACGACAACCCGAACATATCTCAACGAAATTTGGTATGTAGGTTGCCCTTTATCCAAGGTAGGTTGGTATTGAAAATAGGCGGAATCGGACTGGAATGATGAAAAATTGAATTGTTTAAAATTAGTATATGAAGTAGAATTGTGGTAAAAAATAATATTATTATGAAATTTTTGGCAAATGGGCGTGACCCGCCCACTTATGACGAAACTCTGTATCATAGTAGCCGCTTCACCGCCCGTAGCATGGCACCGCCCACTTTATTTATAACTACAAATGTGTCTCTCGTTAACTACTTTATCGATTTCTACCTAATTTGGTTCAATTATATCATTAAGGGCCGGTTGTTCAATGTCTGGTTATCACTACCACTACACTATCGACGATTTCGACATCATGCATGTAACATGTGATCGATAAAGCAGTAGTTGTGCTTAACCGGAGCTTCTACCTCCGATTTGTGCTAATCAGATATTGAACAACCGGCCCTAAGTCTAACTCAGCATATTATCGAAAGCGTTTGGAATCGAGGAAAAACATCCCTGCTTATCATGCAAAGGTACATAGTTTAGAGAAAGTTGAAGCGATGGCATTTGATATCTGCGCCGGGTATATAAAGTTCGGTTTCGCCTGAACTTATACCTCTTTACTTGTAACTTCCTTGCTAACTGGCGCCAAATGGTAAGACCAAGTCAACTCAGCTGGTTAAGCATCAGAAAAGGAATTTTTTTTACTTTTAAATCACGCTATTATCCGTCCAATTTCGTCAGGATTGGCTGGAGGCAGGCCCGTCGAGAGGGAAACGAGGGAGGGGGTGAATCTTCCGGGCTAGGGCATTTTGTTAATTTTTTTTATGGAAATGTGTCGGATTTTCCTAATTTTTTTACAAAGTTTTAAATTCAGACTTACACGGTTTTTGTTATATGGCGAGCTATACTTTCTAAATAATATAATAAATATTAAATAAACAGAGGAAAAATAACGTCTCTATTTCTATTTTCGCTACTGTGCATATGCCAAATTTTTTAACGTGTAATGGGCTGTTTCTTCTTAGCGTAAAAGCACATTTAGCTCTAAAGCTTGTGATCAACTCTGTTTGTCTTGTTTCATAATTAATTTAGACAATTTTAAATTAACAGCACCGACAAAATAAATATATAGTACATAAACAAATTTTCTGTTATGGTTTAAACAATTCAAGTTTATGTATTGAATTTTTTGCTTAAAATTTCTTATTTTCTCCATGCGAATTGATTGGGATAGATACGAATCTGAGTAAGCGACTGGAACACGGCTGTTTGTCAAAAGCATACGATTTCGAATTCGTGTGCTAAAGGCGAAAGCATGAAAGTCCTTAATGCTGAATTTTAAATGCACAAAAACGCTGAATAAGAAGTAATGTTGCAATGTGTATGTTTTATGTACTATTGAATTTCGCAAACACAAAAATTACCTCTTATGTTCCGGGACACCCTAATGTGTTTACGTACGGTACAAAAAAAAACTCGGTACTGCTTTTCACGGAGTTTCTTTGCAAAGAAATAAACAGGGTGAGCAAATACCCTTCCAATGATATCTCAAAAGTCTAAATCACCATAGTTTTGGCCCTGTTGTTAAAGTTTCTCTTAAACCAATCTTTGAAAAAAATTAAAAACCAGCATAGAAAATCTCATTAGTATGATTCCGTAGAAATTTTTTTTTTTACATTTTATGCGGATTTTTTTAGCTTAAACTACTCAATCGCCTGAGGGGATTTTATGAAAATATTCTTTAACAAACTATTTTTATTCATAAAAGAGCTCCATTATTCTAGGTATTTTCAAATCGGTCCAGCTCACGTAAATCTTAATAATTTTTCGAATTATTTTGGTGGAAGTCTTCAAATATAATAAATTTTGTAATCCCGGCAGAAAGGCCGCTACTTTTTTTGGTGATGCAGTCGAATGTACATCTACATACATACGTAAATATAAATGATAAATTCTCTTATGAGCCAACACATTTTCGGAGCAATTTTTTATTAATAAAATCTAAAATCCAAACTCTCAATCTCGTCGCATATTTATCATCAACTGTCACATTTGATAATTAAACGCACATCTATTTTAATCGAATAATTTGCGATCGTTCTTTGGAGAGACTAAATAAGGAGTAGGTAATCCACTTGCAGATTATGTTGCCAGTCCATCAATCAATCAAATAAATAAGGCGATGCATGTCAAGAATTTTGAGGACACGCGTTGGCTTTCGGAGATTTGAAATGTCAAATTTCTTAGAATGAAAATGGAGACCCATCTTTGTTGCACAATTATGTTTGCATGCATGTATGTACATATGCATAGTTGAATGTATGTATGTATGTATGTAGCTTATGTATTAATGCTGCGTGACAAACACACAAAGTAACAAAAAAAAAACGAACCCCTTCACTGCCGCATGGCGCAACAAAACGGAAGTGGAAAGAGCTGCTGCTCTGAGTTGAGATTTGGAAATCATTTCGAAATACATAAATACATTTCAATCTTAATTTGGAAAAAGAGTGGCACTAATTGTTGTGGATTAAGTGAGGGTAAAAAGGGTAATGGGCGAGCGTGCAACCGCATGAGTCCCTATACAAGCGTGCCATAATTAGTAACACACTTTTGTTTTTAATTTTATATAATTTGCTGTACAAAAAATAAAAAAAGTTTTTACTAAATACTTTAAGAGTGGAAAATTTGGCTAAGTATGTACTTGAGAGGTCATTGCCTCCGTACTCACTCACTCACCTACGAATGTGATGCCCATATTGAGTGCGCCGTCACGTGGCAATGTTATGGTGGCATATGTGGTGCCACGATCGGGTGCCAGACCCGAATCCTCCGATTGTGCCGGACTCATGGCGCGATCAACTGTAAATAAAATGAAAAGAAGAATACCAAATGCAATTTAGTAAATATTATCATTATAGTAGTAGCTGCTTTAATTTTTCTTATGTTTTGTGTATTCATTAAATGTAAACACAAAGGCAAAAAATATACATATGTAAACTTGCGCGGAATCGCGTTAAGGTTTTGCTTAACGGAAATTTAATTTTGCGGCTGCTCGAGATCGCGTGTGATCATTTTCCAAATATTTTAATTCTGAAAGGCGAAAACTTTAAACAAATTTTAGAGACTAAGGAAAACAAAGAAGCGTATATTACATCCATACATACATATATTAATGGGTGTATGTTAGGGCGGGTCATTTTTTTTTACTACGCGGTTATAACAAATGAGGATTCTACGTGTAATTCTAAGCAAATTTGCCGGAAAACCCATTGGTCTAAAACTGTGTCTAAAAATCAATTCGGACTTCGCCAAATTTCTAAAATAGGTTTCGAAAAAAATGTGAAAATTTTCATCGTTGCGCCCTCCCTTGGGAGTTTTAAGAAAAAGATAAGTGCAGTAATGGATTCATCATACCAAAACCGACTATAGCATGTTTTTACACAAAATTTAAGCACTTCTTTACGACATTACAGCAAAATGCCAAGAAACCTATTTTCGCAATTTGACAAACTCCAAATTGAATTTAGACACATGGTTTCTTCGGCAAATTTGCTTAGAGTTACCCGTAGAATATTTCTGTGCTATATGCGTATGGTGGAAAAAATCTCCGATACAAATTGGCCCACCCTAGTGTATGTACATCAGGATGCCTCATCAAAAAAAGTTGCGAGTTTTCCATCGGAATTATAAAATGTTTTATATTTTAAGACCTTGGCCAATATATTTGGAAAAATGTTAAGATTTATCTCTAGAAATGTCGATTATATTTTAAATAAAATTGGTTTTTAAAAATATTTTTTCATGTGAGGTAATTTTGGGGGAAAAATATGTATACAAATATATTTTATTTATAAAAAAAACTCCATTTTTAAAACTCGAAAGTCTTAAAATAAAATAATTTTTACAATCGCGATGGAAAAAAGGTACGGATTTTTTGTATGGAGAGTGATTCCCCTAATGTGCACATGTGTTTTTAAAAGTGGAAGGAGAGTATGTATGTAATTTAAAAACATACGTACATATGTGTGTATGTAAATTAGACCATACCACCTTACAAGCAAACAATAAAAGTTTGCCGTATTTTTGCTAGGCAATTTCGAAGGAAAAAAATGTTTACCGAAATTTTTGGTCGCCTTTTTACATTATCCGGGGACACCCACATTCGGGAATAAATTTGTTTTTAAATAGTTCTACGGGAGTAATCAAAAAAATTGAATAGCAAAAGTATTCTTATGATTGGAGAGCTTAAATCTGGTTGATAAGTGATAGAACGGGATATCCGAGGTCAGTGAACTCGTGACAAAAACATCGATATATAATACTTTAAGTCCCGAATGTAAATGCCAAAGATATGACGAAAACTGACAAAAGGCGAGCCCTACGTTCGGCGAAAAAAATTGTCTTTCGAATTTGCCTCACAAAAATATTTAGAAGCTCAGGGATGCACGGCGCACTTTTGTCTGATACGGTCTTATGTACATACATACATACATATGTATGTATGTAAAAACATGCAAATTCGCAAGCATAAAAAAAAAAGTTGCAAGTTTGCATTTTCCTTTATCGCTTTTTTTCAACCGATCTTTTTTACGCCACCACGTCGCTTAAGCCAAATTTTTTGCCACTTCCTGGTGGTCCCATTGTAGCCCCGCTCGTTAACACTTTTAACATTTCATTTTATGCCCTCATTTTGGATACACTTCTTTCTTCCTTTTTCTGTGGATTTTCCCTTTTGCAACGAGCCTTTTACGATCATCGTCAGCTTTGTTGTAAAATGTGTTAAACGCATTTTATTGTGTGAAATTCAGACGCTCCAGCCGCTGTTTTTTTTTT